TGATGCACCACTTGTTAGCATTCATACTTAATCATTACTAGCTAGTTGTTGATGCGCCACTTGTTAGCATTCATACTTAATAACTACTAACAAGATGTTGATGCGCCACTTGTTAGCATTCATACTTAATCACTACTAGCAAGATGTTGATGAGCCACTTTTTAGCATTCATACTTAATCAATATTAGCAAGTTGTTCATTCAGTGCTAGTAGTTATTCAAGCTTATTCAGCTCTAGCTAGTTGTGGACGTTCTACTAGTAAACGTCCAAGCATAATAATCAATACTAGCGTGTTGTTTATTCTACACTCGTAAGCATCGGAACTTAGTCGGTATTAGTAAGTTGTTGATTTGCTACATACGACTTAAAATCATGTGAAATTTGTTTTTTCTTTGCTATATGGATCCTTAGTTAGCAGAAATCTTATAAATAACCCAACAGTGGCCTTTGCGGGTATAATATCCCTGTGTGATATTTATGTTTTATGTTTTCCATTATCTTCTTTGTATCATGTTCCCGCGAACTATTTGAACGTATTCATACGTTACAGCAGAAAAATAATAATAATTAAAAGCATAGATTGTGTATTAAGACTAGAAGCAGTTAATGTCTTATTGTTAAAACTTTCTTTACATCAGAGGAACTTTCGATATCTACAATTTGTAAAGATCATTGAAAAATAATGAATAATAGATACTTATCATCGTATTTAGTACACTCTATTCAGAGCATATTATGTCTGCAGCATTTGCTTTTATTTTATTATCTATATCAGAATAAGATCGTAGTAATTTTAAACTATCCAACGTGCAGTTGATCAATTCAACAGCACCATCCGCCAACTCTTGCGATTAGTGGGATTTGACTTTCACCCTTGTAAGTCATCCACTGCCCCAAAGTGCGGAGCGCGATTTTGAGGCAATGGGTCGCAAACTGCCCTCGGATTCACCTTCCCTCACGCTAACCAACAGGCCACGCCCCGACCCTGAAATAATGTAAGTAAATGTTAAATTCTTGTGTAACTAAATGTATAACTGGATTACTTTATGTTCTTTTAAGATAAAAAGCTTTCAGATGGTGTTCTGTACAAATATTCATGGTAAGTCTTGGAAAATGAGAGCGTTATAAAACGGAAAATATTTTTTTTGATTTGCAAAATCAAATCAGTCTTAAACGTGGATGTTATGAGTTATGATGAGTTATAATTATATTTGGTGGTTGTTTTGTCGAATTAAGATTGATTAATTTTCAATAAAGAAAAATAAGCAGTTAAGCTAAATTTCGTTAACTAAACATGTTTGTTTCGCATGATACAGTCCACAAGACTTGAGTGACTAGGTATTTAATGTCTATAAATCCATAGGAAACTTTCTTAACGTCTATTCCAGTTGAAGCATGTGCTTCTCTGTTACATGTCTTTTGGATTATCATTTATTACAGAAACATATCATACATTAATATATATATTCTAGAAACGTTAAGAATTCTGTGGCAAAGAAAGTTGTATTAATATAAACATACATCATCAGTAAGAACATAAATAAGTTTCCTTTTTCTCAAACGTCCTTTCTCAGTTTTAGACGCTTAAAATTAAATATCGTTTAAACGTTCAGCATTGTGTTGTTCACTTGTGATTACTGCGAGAAAAATAATCGGTAATAATATGATTTTGCATCACAATAAGACTGAAACAATTTAAACCATATCATTCTATATATTGGCTTAAGAAAACTAATCGGTATTAGTATGATTTTGAATCACAATAAGACTGATAACAATTCAAACCAAATCATTCTTTATATTGGCTGAATAATGGTTTGCAAGAAGAAGAAATGTGTGAAATAAGATCACAACAATAGCTAACGACAAGCACTTTTGCTCGAGCCTGTTGGATTACAATATAAAGTCATAGTTGAAACGCTATTTATATTATCAGACAGTACGTATAAGGGTGTAGCTAGCTAAGTATAATCCATTAGTTAGTACAGTCTTTGCCAAAATGTTTGCATACTGTTCTATATTGATGTTATTGTATACGTTCACAGAATAGTTATTGAGTAAATGCCCGAATAGTAAGAGAGAAGGTAGTGTATGATCGGATAACCATGTACGAGTTGTTATTCTGTCTGTAAAAGTTCTTTTGAGCATTTGTTCATCAAACATACATACACACCTATTTTATATAAAAAAAAAAGGTGTGCTTTTGGTATAATGTTTTTAAACGTTGTTCCAGGAAAATCTACTCGTAGACGCCAAAAACCTAATGCGCGAGATGACCGTGTTTT